GCTTGCACTGCAGATGGGCTTTGTCTGTGCATGCTTTGGCAGACAGACCTGTCCCTCTTTTGGATTTTATGTACAATATGAGAAAAACAAGGGTTGGGGTTTTTTTAATGTACCTGTTGGCATGCTTTTATAGCTGTCTAATTATTTTTTATAAGTTAATTGCTGTATTTTATATTTGCATTTTTGCTGCACTGTGTATTTCTCAAAGTCAGGGTGATAAAAAAAGAAACACTGGGCGGGCACAATAAGGAGCCAGTCTAACAAAGACCCCGTTGTGCACAGCCGTGTCATGGCCTCTGCTGACTCAGGTCTTCACGATACGGTACAAGTTCTTCTGAGTTCATTTTATGACATTGTCTGAAGAAATATGGTTAAAATATTTTTTTCTATGTTCTCCCAATAGGAAATTGGTTTTTTTATTAAATACATTTGCTCGACTGTATTATCATTACTTTCTACCAGCACCGACCTGGGAGAACAGTGTTGATATAGCTAAACCTACCTAAAATGTTAAGCAGCTCTTATGCCCCCTAAACTGCGACTCTTCTGACATTCATGGGTCAGAAAGAGCGTGTCAGAGAGGAGGGATTTGACCTGCCTGACCACCTATGGAGCTGCCGCATCTTCCGGTGAAGCGACCTCAGTCATCAGCTGAGCTATAGAAACTGTCCATGCGTGTGCTCGTAGCCCCAGCGAATGGGAAGTAAAGTGCCTCTGCTTGAATTACATCTGTCTGGGTAGAGCCATCCTGGAGGCTGACTGTCTGAACCCCAGCGTTGTAGGGATAAAGTAAGGGTAATATTTTATCCTGAGAACTCACTTTCTGACTCAGCGTAGGGAATTCTGTGTCTGCTTTGCTCCTAGGAGGCAAATATTTCCTACAGTGGACTCTTCTGTTTCTACTTTTGGTATCTTTAGCGAGAGTTTCCTTAACATATTATGTTCATCTGAAACCAGTATAAAACTTTCCTTTTTCCCTTCCCTTCGCATTTCCCCTTTGCCTTCCCTTCTTTCAATCACTAAAAGGCCATCATGTACCTTTTTCAGCGTAATTGTCATGATAGAGTTTTAGAGTTGCCTCTGTGCTGAAGTTAACCAAAACCTCAATAATACATCAAGCAGCTCCGAGCCAGCTGTTGTCACAGCCCAAGTCACTGCCGTGTTACCGCAGACAGATACAGGTTATTTATCACTTTAAGGGTTTGTCCTGTTATTGTTTGCATTTCCAAAGCATTTCAGCTGCTGTAGAACCCTGAATCACGCCCTTCCCTGTCGCACAGAAGTATTTTCTAGGTTCAGCATACCGGTTCAGCATACCCGGTCTCCCCGGCACCACCGCCGTTGGCCGCGGTGTCCCGGTGCAGAGCAGGACATGGGCTGGGGGTGATGGCAGCTCTGCACCAGGTGGAAACAATTATGGGAAAAAAACGTGGTCTGCACTGGATGAGTTACTGCTGATAGCTGCCAGATAAGCTAACTTAATAAAGTGGTGGCTTAATTAAGCCACATTCCTTGCATCTTGCCTTTCGTCCTGCCTGTCTGGGGCGATGCTATCATGCAGCTACCGCTTTGCAAGGTGGGGCAGGGGGTGCTGTGCTGGTGCACCGCTGTGTGTCGGGCACAGGGGAGACCTGCGGGCGATGGGACATGGGGTTGCTCCTGGAAAGCTCAGCTCCCCTCCCAGTCTGCAAGGTGATGGGCCACAAAAGCCTGCAACAAAGGCAGACCTGCTGCTTGCCTAGTCATGGATGTGTTTATTGGTATCAAAGGTTTGACCCTAGATCCCATCTTCTGACATTGAGTGATCCAGGAGCACCTCGACCTCCAGAGCAGAGGGGAGTAGCTCAACATCTCCCTGCTTCTCCTGGAGCTACCTGTCAGAAAAAAAGGGTGACTTTGCTTTGAGAGAGTCCCTGTCGCCATGGATTTTCTTAGAGGTAACACAAAAGCTAGACATTGCAGTGATTGAAATCAGAGTACACAAAACCCTCTGTGACTTTGGGCTTGTGCATGTTCCTGGGTGAAGACTGCATGAGAATCAGAAGTTGCTATATTTTTAATAGCTGAAGCACCCCATTAAAAGCTGTAACAGATAAGTCTGCCAGAAGTTTCTCCTTTTGGAAACCAGATTTAAAGTTAACGAATCAACTTAATTTCCCTGTAGATCCAGATTTTAGTGGTTGAGCTTCTTACACAGCCGTGTATTAGTTTGTGTTTGATGCATGCTCACATGTACAGCTGCATAGCAACCGCCTCGCTGAAGGTTATTCAGTAGCTAAAATTATCAGTGGGGACCCCCTCTTACCTCTCATTATGTATAATGAGATCGCTGCTGTGCAATGTTGATTAGACATGTCAACCTGGAGCTGGATGTCTGAAAATGAGTATTGCTATTAAAATGCCTTTGCTAATGATCAACTCATGTGTCCATCACTTTGACAGATTTCTTTTTAAGAATGTAAAAAGCTAAAGCATGCAGGAATCCCAGGGTTGCAATGTAATGTTCAGAAAAACAGGTATTGTCGTATTGTATTTCCTGGGCATTAACCCTGAAGTAGCAGTTTCCGTGGCAAAATCATGCTGCTGGCTGAAGCTTGCTGTTGAGTACGGGCTGCGCTAATACAGAGATCTGTAATCTTGAAGTGGGAACCGATTATCATGGCAAATTGGTCTCTGGAGTGTGATCCTGAAAGCAGGGCATCCCTCCTCTAAACCACTTCTTTAGGTATGATTTAAAGCTTTCATGATGTGGAAAAATCTTCAAGTATTTAGAGAAAGTATTTCCAAATCTCCTTACCAGTAGACCCTGGGGAAGTTCAACAAAAATGGGGAGACTGAAAACAAGGAAATGATTTCTCAAAAACGTCTCATCCCCCTGTGGAACTCATTGCTGCAAGCAGCCGTTGAAGAGACAGATTTCAGCAGGGGCTTGGATATCTGCCAGGGCAGCACGATTTTCTGGTTGCTTTAACTGGAGCAACCCCCGGCAAGGCTACACAAGGCTGTGCTTGCTTCAGGGTGCCAGGGCACTATTTAATGGCTGTAACTCAGTGTGTGGTGGTTCTCAGTGTGTGGCTGTGGGAGAGGGGTTTGATCAGGGCAGGTGGTTTGGCTATCAGGAGAATCCAGGAAGGCAGATAAAACCACAGTTTAGCCACAAGAAAGCCAACAAGTCCAGCCAAAAGCCATTGCCAGCCAAGCTGAGAGGAGAGAGGCAGCTTCTGCAGGGTTCCCAGCAGGCGAGCCCTTACCCAGGAGCCGGCTGTGCCGGCTGCGGTTTGCATCTGCTGCCACAAGCCACTCCAAGGGTGGGAGTCCTAAGCGTCCTAAGCCTGAAAATCAAGTGGGAATTCCCAGGGAGAAGCATAGAAATTATGAAAGCTGCTGCTCCCTCTTTCTGGTTAGTTCTGGCTGGCACAACCCCACAGGTCAGCATCTCATGGCAGGGGTGCCCTCCTTTCCTTTTCCACCTCCCAGCCCTCTCTCGAGCCAGGCTGTATCTTCCTCTGAAGAGCAGCTACAAGCAAGCTTTTATCAGCCTCCCTTCTTCTGCAGACAGAAGAGATGAATGTGCATTTGGAAAGCCATCGGCATGGCTTGCAGCGTATGAACAGCCTCCCCGATGCACCTTTGAACTCATTCCTCCTGCATTTGTTTGTCTTGCAGATAAAACTTCACAGCAGTGTTTGGAGAAAAGTCTAATGAGGGACCACTGTTTGCATAACAAAGCAGGGCTTCCTCTTCAGACGTTCAACCTTCATTAAGCATAATTTATATTCCAGCTAATCTTTGGAAGAGGGTAAAATATGGAGCCAAAGTTTGTTTTTACATAGTTTGGAGTAATGCATCGTTTGTTTTAAGTGGTCAGTTGCAACTGATAGTTCATTTAAATTCAACATAATGATGATTTGTGATGACTGCGTGTTGTCTAGGCGAGTGTTGTGTCATTGACTGCCATGGCTTTAGCACTCTTCTGCATCAGTTATTGAATTAAAGGATAACACCAATGGATGGTTTCCCAGTTTTGCAGATATTTCAGCATGTCCACAAGGCATGAAAAACTGTGAATTTGTAAAATACAGGGTTTTTTCCTCTTAGACTCATGTAGACTTGATAAAATACTGCACTGAACAGCAGTTTGCTTCTCTTCCAGCAGTCCTGGTAGCCACCACCCTGGGACCCTTTGAAGGTCACCAGGCCCCTGCAGCGAGTAGCTCTGAGGGTGATAAGGGACACAGCAGTTTGTAAAGGCTCCTCGGTGCTGTTGGGAGTCCTGGTGACTTGATGTGGTTTGCTGTCTAGAAAGCAAAACAAGCAGATACAGCTGAACGCCTAAATACCGTTACAGGCCAGTGTGTAAGAAATGGTAATTTCTCAGGTTTGTTCATATCATATAGGCACATAAAAAATATCTCATCCTATTGACTCTTCACTGCAGTTTTGTCCCCCTGTCTGTGTAAGATACTCTCCCTTACTCCAGTTGAAATACCCAATATATTTCACTTGCCACCTTCCAGGTTTATTAGAAGATGAGAAATGACTGATAACATTTATCTTGTGTGTACTCCTCGCTGAGGCTCACCCCTTTCTGCAAGTTTACATTGTAATGACAGATGTTTGAAAATACCCTTCACTGTATCATGAAAATTATGACCTGGGTTGTGTATACGGGCAGTACCGAGGTGTGCTGCATCCTTTCAACACAAGAGAGCAGGGTTTTCAGAAACTACTTGGGATGTTGAGTGGGTCAGCATTGGGGTACCCAGCCCCAGGCTCCTGAGGCGCCTGGCCATGCTGTCATTTAAAATGCCTCATGGACTGAGTGGTGGGTTTCCATGTTGTGTTCTTTAATGCTGAGATACCTCCAACTGCAAAGCTCAGGATCCTCATCTTGTTTGGTTGATCACATCCATGATCTACCCATGACTGTTTTTAAAGGCACACACCAACCTTTAGAGAATATATTTGTTTATTCATTTATTTATTTTATTGTTTTTCAGGAAAAAATGCTGTAAGGGTTATAAGTTTGTTCTTGGACAGTGCATCCCTGAAGGTATGTGATTTCATTGTTCTTACCCCTCGTGTCCCCATGCATTTGTCTTTCCCCTTTTGCCCTGCTCTCCGCACTGCTGGTTTGGAAGAGCATCCTGATGTAACCACAGGGTTGGCCGTATCTCATGTGTCAGTGGGGGACATGTGTTTCCAAGAAATTGTTGGGAAAATAAAAAGATCAGCGTCTTCCAGAAGTTTTGCTTAGTATGCCAAGCCTTGATCCTCCCCTAAGTACACATGGCTGCACAGATCTTGTACCATGACCTGCTGCAGAGGGACTCATTCTGCTCTTGGCTAGGTACACGGGAGCCCTCTGTGCACCCAGGAGCACACCTTTTGTGGCTGATGGCTTTCGTCACATACCCCTTGGATCTGGCACAGCCAGTTTGGCTTGTAAGTGCACGGGGAGTGGGTGACTTGGTGAGTTAGTCCTGCCTTTAGTTACCTATTTCCCAAAGACATCAGTGAGGGGAGAGCATTGCCAAATGGTGTCTCCCTTCCACTGTCTCTTCTGGTCATGGGCATGGCTTTCTTGTCACTAGGGGCAGAGGGAGACGGGGAATTACTTGGGGGTAGTTCATGCAGTAGTGAAAAGGGACCGATCCCCTCCTGGCAGAGGGGAGCTGCCCGTACGCTTTGCAAAGGTAGCACCGGGGTCCCAATGCTCAGAGGTTGCTGCAATGAGATCTCATTTAGGAAAAGGCTGAGCTCTGCCTGCCTTAACCTAGAGGAAGGCCTCTATTGGGTTTACCCAGCTGATGGCTTCACTGAGCAGTAGCAATGTAACTTCTTCAGTTGCTCCCACCGCTTTGCCCGATTTGGCTGAAATTGTCTCTGAAGTTATAGAAGACGAACTGTCAGGCAGAAGCAAATGGCCAGAGATGACAAGACAATAAACCTTGTTTGCTCCAAAAAGCAGGTTAAAAAGTTGGTTTATGGTAACACATCCTTCTATTTGATGGCATATGGAAAGCCTCAAGTTGACCTGAGAGTTTTCCCAGTTTGGGATAGTGATGTTTTGAAAGGAAAAGTGACAAGTTAACATACTGGAAAGAGTTAGCTGGTTTTTGAGTTACAGTCTCCAGCCAACAGGGATTATAACCTGAATCCTGATCCTGCTGTTTTTTTTTTTTAATTTGTATATCTTCTTTTTTGCTGCTGGCTGAAAACAC